CTTCGCTCTCGCAGCCACGCCTCTTGCTGCCCTCAGATATGGACGTTGCGCTAGTGCCAGAATCTCTGTCATTGGTTTTATGCATGAGCGACTCATTCAATATGTTATATAGAATCACAGGGGGTTGATTTGGAAGTTCGCGTTGCGGTGACGCTCGCGCGAAATTTGAACCAAGATCTAACCTAACTTGTTTAAATCTAATTTGGTGTTGATTTATGTAAACTAAATAGAAAATACTCCATTAGTTACACAGCTCGCGCTAACCTGCTTTTTTTGAACAAATTCCGTAAATATATTTCTGAAAAAATGAGGGAAGGCGTGTGGGGCTCGGTAAGTGTACTGGATAAGCTTGGTGCTGGGATAGCAGAGGTACAGGTTCAAGTCCCGTCAACGACGATGGGAACCCAAGAGATGATCCTTGTGATAACATTATTTCATCATCGAATTCATGATTGTTATCGTCATTTTTGCTATGAACAACACAAGTTCAAATGTTACGTCTGTAAAATCGTAAATAAGTCTGTTGGCATCGTGACAGTCAACAGCGCGTACACACGTGAGTGCACAAAAATCACATGTATACAGACATCACATGGCAATTTATGCGTTTACGCTCTCGACGGGGGACAATATAAAGAAAAACTGCATTTTTAAAGGAAAAATTGCGAAGTGGTAGGGAAGCGTATTGGCTGCTTTATGGCCCCTTTTTATTTTGCAAGCATAAGGAGTGAATGGTTACAGGCAGGGTTTGGGCTCCAACGAACCTTATTCCTAGCTTTTCCCAGCACAGTACCTTCCATAGCCCTCTTTCGATTCCTCAACTTCGTTTACCTTCTCATCCTCCAGTACTACAAAAATCCGTCGAGTGGCGTTGGCAGGGCAAGTAGGGTGACGGGCTCGCGCAGGGCGCAGGTAGGGAGACGGGCAAAAAGACTCGCCAATCTGCCACTCCGCGCGCGCCGGACTTTTGTGCGCGGCGTTTTCTTGACTCATCTTAGCCTGGCGCGACGAATTACGATTCTCTTGTCACATACCCCCGCGAAGAGATATTTCGCAGCAGTGGTGATGCTGGTGATGGTTAATCCTCAACAAAAGTACTATTGGTGTTGACGGAGGCCATGCAGCAGCGTGGTGGAACTAGTTCTCTCCCGGGTTCAGGATGCTCAAGAGTAGATGACCAGATCCCGCGCGCGAGATCGTCTCCGGGTCTGCGGACAACTTGGACTTAATTCCTCTTATTGCGTCACCTTTCTATTTCCCCTTCACCTTCTCGCCTCACATGGCGCTCTGTGGCCGCTTTGATCTTGCACAGTTTCTTCACGCAGGGTAAATGGCTCACCCATCCCTAACTCCCTTTGGAAAGCCTACTGCTCCCTCCATTTGGATTCGCCACATGCCATCTCCTGGCTCCTCACATACCTTTGTGAAATTTCCGATCATTTAATGGCAACCGACTGCCCTCCATTTGTCTGCGTTATTTCGGTTCTGCAACAGCAGCCGCCGAAAGGGCGGTGGTCTTGACCGCGTCACCTCATGGCCCCATCATCCACGGTGGCGCAAAAAATTAGCCTGATTCCACTATGCCCCCTCCATAATGCATTGTTCAACGATCATCTTTGCCTCTCTTTCCACCGCCTAGCCAGCCAAGGAAGTCTTTGAGCCAAGCTGAAGATACTTGACTATCTGCTATCTCTTGGCTGAGGAAGTGCCCGAGCCAGGTGAACTTTGGATAAAGGCCAGTCAACGGAACTCGTCACGTACACGCATCAGGACTCCCACGCGTGCCCTAAGGTTGGCGACCAGCCAAACGGTTATCTCTGATACCATAGAGAGTGGCTCCGCTAACCTTCCCCTTCCGCCACCTTCTACGGCAAGTTTTTGGAAAAAAGTCGGTGAAAGGGAAGGTAGGTTATAAGAAGGCAACAACGTAACTAGCAGAAATTTCGATTATGTGCCCTGTTCAGAGTTTATTTTCAAACTTTAATATGTTAACGGTAGAGGCGTGTTAACGAAAGTAATATCCCTGCACAAAATTATTGATTTTTAGCTTGAGCGTCAGACGTCGTTCGGCGTTACGGTTCGCGTCCACGCGGCGACAATCGCGACAGCGCGACGTGTTCTCGACACCGCTATCGCCTCGTTCGAATTACTAGCAGATATCATGGAAATTCCTCTACCGTTAAATAAGGTGAACATTTACTTTTCCTACTTTTCACTTTTTTTGTTGTCCTCTTCATCGTGTACAGAGCGGCGCAATTTGCAGCGACTCGAAGAAATCTATGATAAACCGTTCCCTGATTTCTGAAACGAGAATCGCTGGTGGCCACTGATCCATACACAACATTGCTCGGCTAGGAGAGAGGAGAGATTTGCAGGTTTTAGTGACGCAAATGAGCCATTTGCATCGCCAGAAAATTTGCAGGTCTCCACAAGATAACTACTGTATAAACTCGGCTAATTACCAACCGATGCCCCACCACTCCATTTTGCCTTCAAGATTTTAATTTGAAGGTACTTGGCACGATAAATCTCTGAGAAGATTAGGACTGGCAGGACGGAATTCCGCGACCCTGAGCAGGTGCTGCGTAGCGCCTTTCCAAGGGAGGTACCCTTATAAGGGCCCTATCAAGCTACAACATACCGACCCGAACGCCCACCACGCCCGCCCGCCCACAAATGGACGACCGTACCTGATGCTTGCATTGCTTTTCTAAGTAAAATATTGAGCGAAGGAGTAATACATGCCCGTATCTACCGTAGCGGTTATTGGCAAGATGCCTACGGGAAACTCGTCCGAAATTGCTTTTCGAGTCATTGAGAACGAAGGCTTTTCTTCGCAGGATTTTGACCGTTTCACTCCTTTTGCCATTTTCCTAGTACACATGGCGCCGTGCTAGCATTTTAGGCCAACCTCCAAAATATCGTGCCAATTGCCTTTGAAGGTACCGCAGCCGATGTCGACACAGTATTTGACTCGCTTGGGTAGGCTTCTGACGCGGAACGCGAGTAACAGTTGTCGGGCTCATTCGAGAATGGTCATCAGCACATTCCCATGATCTGAACTACGGTTTCCAACGTTTGGACCGAGTCACTACAGTCGCTTCTGCCAACTTCTGCCAACAACCGCTTCCGCCACACCAGTTGATGGGCGCGATCCCACGAACACGAGAGGACGATGTGTGCACGGGAAGCCACTGAACCCCTAAAACTCAGAATCGCGAGCCTTTTCAACGGCAAAATCAGCGCCAAGTGATTCCCATCCAGGCATTCAAAAGAATCTACGACCCTTGATTTCATGAAGAATTTCTTTAGCAATACATTTTAGGTCGACTTCATTATGGTGCCGCATTACGACGGTGGCATGGAGAACTGGGGCCATGTTCTCCTATCTGAGAACCTGGCTGCATCTGGTGATGACGCTCATCTCTCCTATATCATCGCCCACGAACTCGCCCACCACTGGATTGGTGATAAGGCAACGGTGAACAGTTGGCGATGGATTTGCCTGCAGGTATGAAATTCATAATAAACTAGGTGCTCTTAAGGTGCTAAGGTGGCAGGGTAGAGGTGCTGATGTGATTACTCTGGATATAGTTGTACGGTCCATAGACTGGATTCCCCCGGAGTGGCAAATAGAAGAACTCACTAGTGCAGTAGATAAACTCGGTGGCGGAAGTACGGTATAAAGTCCCGTCAGCGTCGACAAGAACTCAGTTTTAGAGAACTGTAAAGTAAGAGAAATTGGAATAGGATTGAATGAGGATAATGAATGGCTGTATCGTTACTTGGGAGGAAAAACACTCAAAGGCTGATCTCCGTGACCCACAATGTGGCCCACATCTGCTTCTACAATGCCAAATGAAAATAAAACTTGTAGCGCATCCCAGCAGGGTGACAAAACCTGTGCTCCTCACTTATCCTCTTCTTCCTGTTTATCTTCGAAGCTTTATCCTGTTGAAATCCCAAACACAGTGCCTGCTGGCTTGCTTAGTGACGATGTTGAGCTGAGACGATAAATCCAAAACAACACGATGCGGAAGTTGTTGCAATGTTGTGGAATAACAAGGCTAATCGCTTATGGCTAGCTCCTTCTCCTCTTAGATAATGGGCGAAAGAGGATCAAGTCTTCAACGGTGTCTGGTTTCTACCTGAGGGTCTCTACACACCTATGATCTACTTATCTCCAGAAGCCGTAAGTTCCGCTTCTGAAGTGAATCGCGGGTAAACCTTTTGCGCTTCCTGCGGCAGAGGTAAGTGAAGTGTGCGACCGAACAGTAGCTGAAGCGATGCTTTATGACCGCAAAGAGGCAATCGATTCGAATATTTACCTGAAGGGCATACCTGAAGGCCAAAAGCCGTGAAAATTCAGGGGTTCTACACGGAACATCTTCTCGTTGTACGACCTATCATTTGCACGGATTAGTTGCCGATTCAGCTTTACGTTCCCCATTGGGCGCTTCGTTAGCGGCAGATAAGAGAGTCCTAACCTAATAGCTTGACGGAAATGGTCTTTGTCCAACTTACATTGATATTTTTGGGGAAGGCGCCGTTTAATGAGCGGCACCGTGAGGGGGAGGTCAAGGGGGGGGGGGGTCAGATGCCTGACTAGCTCCCATCTAAATCATTGAAGTTTCCCAACGGGGTCAGTAACTTGGTACAAGACTGGTCTGACAGGAAACACTGAGTGTTATGCCGAAAGAGGATCAAGCCTTCGTTGGTGTCTGGTTTCTACCTAAGGGTTCCTATCACATATCAACTCCTTGTATGGACCAAATTGTTTCAAAAAGCCAATATGATTCGGTGTCTAAATAGGATACATGGCTCAAGCACGGCGCAAAGGGTCCGACATCGAAAGCTTCCTTTTATTTTTTGTAGATTCATGGCGGGTTAAGTGTTTTCAGTTTTTTTTGCGTCTAGATTACTTATAAGTTGAGAAGAATTAACCATAAGAAAAAGAATCAGTTCAGAGAGCGTAGATCAGCCCTTCTGGGATGTGCTGTGCCTTCGGTTTTCATTGAAACCAGATATTTAATGGCTTACTTATCCTAGGACCAGTGTCAGTGCTACTAGGACAATGTGGCTTTCAAATAAGGTGCTGTGAAAACAAAGAAAGGAAGCCGCCGCGTTACAGCGCGTTAGTCGAAGTCTGAACTCTACCGTATGAAACGAATGACAAGCGCCCAGAGCACTGAGTAACCCCTTAGCAGAGGGTTGCACTTACAGAACAAAAAATACTTTCAAACGATTAGTTCTATTTGTGAGCGTGAGTGGGCGCCGAAGGGTTAGCCTATTCTGGAACATTCCATTTCTAGGGGATAATCTTTAATCCTTTTAAGATTGATGAAGGCGGATTTCTCACGTTTAATATGTGATTCTCATTGCGACAATCCACTTAACTCCTGTATAATACCATACAAATCTCAATAGGCATTATTGTTGTGTTGTGTTGTGAAAACACATTCACTTCTATGTAATTACTTTCATGGTAACCATAGTGACGAAATTGTTAATTCTGTTAAACACTCTGAAATTGCTTCAGCGGAAAAGTTCAAAAATTGAACCAAAGTGCAATGAAACAATATGTAGAACGTTGAGTAAATAGACGGGGACCTAGATGTTCGATACCGACAAATTCCTTGGGAATGCGCCACACATTTCACACCTATCTGGACTGTTAAAGAAGTTGAATCCACCTTATATTGGTGAAAATACCCTGTGCTTCAGGCAGTGAAGAAAAACTGACACTCATTCATCGAGCCCCGATGGCCTTTAGAGAGGCCTTTCCAGGAACACACATCTGTGATTTGGCTCTTCTAGCCTCTGCACCATCTAGTCCTCCCTGATATTACGTTGGAGCACTTGTCGCGTTAGGGGTGGGAGTGAGTATTTTGCTAGTTCTCCGGATTTCTCCGGTTTTTTCAGCGGTTTCGGTTGGGATATGTGAACTCCGTGGAACCGTGAGCTGCGATGCTTCACAAAGATGTACAGGTCTTCACAAGGTAGCATGTACACCCCCTTATCAAGTCAAATGCGTTTCTGGGAGGAGGGAGGGTAACCCCTGCCAATACAAAGTCTACTTTTTTGTGATCCGCTTGTTCTTAAAAAGGCGGAAATGAGGATCATTCCCGCTACACCCTCCTAGGAATGCCCGAAAAGGAAAGAAGAACTTTCATAAAAAAGCTCTATGAATCGCTTTATCGCAGGGCTAACCGACCCGCTGTGCTGAAACCGTAGAGTAAAAAAAAATACTGGTCAAAAAAAATTTAAAAAACAATGCGAAATTAGGTACACAAACGTGGCACTTCCTAGTGAAGTGAGAGGAACTTTCGGTGCTAATAACCTTGGGGTGAGAAAGGGGAGGGGCGCAACATGTCAGCATACAGGCTTTGTTAAGTCGTGCTAACTGTATACATGTGAATACTGGATAATCGGGTCTCACCCCGTAAGTCCTATCTGTCAAGTGCCCTGTAAAACTCCTGTCAAGCCTGGCGAAAAGGTACTACATAGCGTTATCAGAGCGCCACTTGTCCATCTTCTTCCACATTTTGATCAGTCATTTTGACACGTTTGACAGGCGTTTACAGGGAGCTTGACATGTGATAGCGAGTCCTGCAGGGCGTTGACAAAGTCTGAACAAGGCTGTCACTGGCCCGAACAAGGGGTGTAATGTCAGGTTTATACTCTCGCGCTCGAAACCGGGTCACTGCGCGCGGCGTTGAGTCCTGACCTGGCATTTTGCCAAATTCCGATCGATATGACCCTGTCGCCATTTGCTTGGAGCGTTCTTTCTTTTCCTTATCTTCCATCTGTCCATGTTTGAACATGTTCACCTGTTTGGACTCCCGGCCGTTCCACGTGTCCAAACAAGTGAATATGTTCAAACATGGAACATGTTAAAGCATGTAATCGCCGGCGCGCGGTGGACCCACCTCCCAGCGCGCAGTGCTCTGGCGCGTTCCCCCCCCCTCCCCCGAAAAGCCATTCCTGTTTATGTCAGCGTATTTATAGTGCAACATGAGACGGCCAGTAGCTAACGAAAGAATTCAGCTCCCTCCCCGCAATTCCCATTCTCAAGAAACCATGACATGTCTTGGCAAATCTTTCCAAATACCATGCAGCCATGACGTTACTTCTGATCCGCAGGGTCTTGTTGTGGTCCCGATTTATTAAGGCTCTCCCAATTTATTGAGGCTCATTTATCGGATTGCGAGTCAGCTGTCCATGTCTGAGGGTGCCACCAACTAACTCCATGGCGACGCAGACGACGGATTAGCAGGGTGTTCAGAGAGGCGACGTTGAGTTCCGCGTTTGTGCCACGTGCTGTTTGTTTTGCTAGTTGTTTGCTTGTGTTCAATGCGTACTCACACGCATTCACACATACACAAACACACATCACAGTCGCAATAAACGTGCTCGATATTCAGACAGCAGAGAAACAAAGTGAGGGACCTGGTCAGGCACCGAGAGTTCAGGAGAGTTTGGAAATATTTGATTCATTCATAAGGATGGCATGAAGGCTTTTACTAAAGTTTCCAAATGATCTGTGACTAACCTTACTCTTAAAGGACCTTGACTGTAGTATTTAACGACAATTTCCGCGATCGAGTATAATAGGTAGCAGGCTCAGTGATGACCCAGTAACCCATATAAAACTCATCAGTAGAAGTAGTTCAGAGGGAGAAGCGAAAAAAGTTTGGCAACATTCTGAGCACAGCCCCCGCCCCTCCCCTATGAGAGGAGCGACGCCTTGTGAGTTATCAATGAGGATAAGCCCAGTCAGCAGGATTCTAGGTACGGCCAATTTAGGGCCAAGAGCATAGGAAATCACCCTACGACGCTTCAGGCAACGCTTTGTGCACACGTAATTCCGCTGTAAGCCGGTGTCTTGCAGAGTGAAACTAATCGTGATTGCAATGGTTGCAACAAACAGGCGTCTCTAGCTTTGTTATCTCGCTATTTTTGACGTGACAAGCAGGGTGCAGCATTCTGATGTGTGAAATGGTGACGTCAGTAGGAACCCACTCCCTAGAAGGAGGGTCTCGGTGCGACACGCCCTTCCCCAGCACCTACATACCACTTTCCTATGAGTTCCCGGCTTTCTACCAGTTTTTCACCCAAGTCGGGAAAATCGGGAAAAATTTTCACAACGCGGCAAATTTCTCTCAAAGGGCTTATACGCCCACCCCCTCTCCCAGCAACGACTAAGTACCCCTCCCCCCTCCTCCCAGCGGCCCACGTACGATCCCCCCATTTTGGTTTTCCCAAACAACAATCCCCGGGATGCTGTCTGCGAGTACGGACAACGATGTCTCTTGATCGCGGGAAGTTTCTCCAAGGATTCTAACAGGTGCTTAACCTTCAGAAGTGCGGAATCATGTAGGAAGTGCCATATGACCAGAGTTGCCTTTGAAATACACTTCACTTGGGAGCCAGCATAAGTTCAGTATGGTGACTCTATTCTTAGAAGGAAGTTATAACGTAACGCCAAACCCCCTCCCCCTCGCTCGGAAAATTGAG